TCGGCTGACTCCGTAAATTCTGACCTACTTATCGGAGTTTACAGAGACAGCCGCCATTTTGGACCCCCTTCAAATTTAGAAATGCGAATATCTAGAGTTTGGATTGATCAATTCTAAAATAAATTATATATTAAGCATTTTCAGAAGAGTCTCTATTAACCTTATTAAAATAAAAGAAAAATATAGAAAAACAAAAAATTTTCAAAATACGACTTTTTTAAATTCGCATCCGGTAAAGACCGGAAGTATTGACGACGCACAAAAAGTTGATTCCCCTCATCTAGAAGACATAACCTATCATCTCTAACAAGTCTCCAGTTCATATCTTAAACCATTTTTGAAAAAAAGGGGGGACAAAATTTCATTTTAAAATCAGAAAACTGTCAGTAACTTGGCACCAGAAGCGAGTTTTCCAAATTTTCCTTCTGATGAACAAAGTTCATTTGACGACGCATAATTCCTGAAAGTTTCATTTAAAACCACTGAATAGTTTTTGAGAAATCGCCTGCACAAAATTTTGGGGAAAAAAATAAGAATAATAATAATAAGAAGAAGAAGAAACAGTAGAATCACTATAAGGTCTTCCGTGAAGACGGAAGACCTTAATAATAAGAAACAATAGAATCACTATAAGGTCTTCCGTGGAGACGGAAGACCTTAACTAGAATTGCACACTATTTATCAATATTTATAAACACACAATGAGATACGTATTATTTAAACGCGCAAGTCAGTTGCAAAAATATCAGACTTTGTTGACGATATCGAAATTTATTGATTAGTCTGAAAGTAAAAATAAAGTAAAACGTTTTCTCATAGATATATCTGTTATTTTCGAATCATTATGCTACAAAAAACTCAAATGTATGCTGTTCTTTTATAATTGAAAGAATCGAAACTTTTTTGGGGGGTCATGCCTTGATCATGTTATGTATTCAATGTTTATGCTTAGGGTGTCGCTCTCAGTTTAATGCATGCTTTTCCTTGGCGAGACCTTCATACCTTAAACGTTTGTAAAACTCTCTTACAGGCGGTGCAAGGCAAATCGTCAGTGCACAAACTTTATAAAACCGGACGTAAAAGTATTTTTTCTCGATATACGTCACAAGTCACTAGCTGTGGAAGATTATAAAGCATATTGAGATCGTTACCGAGGACGAACTCTGTCGTAAATAAAATCTTAAATATAAAATGCTACTAATGCATTCATGAAAAGCACTTACGATTTGTCATTAGAGATTCTTAATGAGGCAAAGTCTAATTATTTCTACCCAAGAAATTTTGATAAATTTTTCTTTAATTATTTTTTACTATTATATTTATTGTTTAAAGATTAAAAAATCTTTTGTTTACCGTCCCGATTTCTTAGGCGGCCATCTCAAAAGTTGTGAAATTTTACTATTGGACCCTATGGGAATTTGTTGGAAAAGCGCCAAATTATCTAATTTTTCCCAAATTTTTGTATTTCTGCCCTATAGTATTCTTTTTCAGCCAAGTACATGAATGTTATTGTGAAAAGTCACCAAACTGTGTAATTTGACGATCTAGTTGGCTTGGGAATTATTACAAAGTTTATTTCCGGCGCAGATGGATTATTTTGGTAAAAATAGCAATGTTTAGATTGCTAGTATGTTTCTTTTGATGTTCGTTCAACAGTTATTGGTAAAATATCCATGGACGTCTGAATATACAAGAGATTTGTAAGCAATGCAGGACGCTGAAGAATGACAAATGACTCGCTTGTATATTAGTGAATGCTATCATGATTTAAAAATCGGACCATTCATTTATTTGGTACAAAAATGGTCGTTATACATTGAATACCTTAAAATCACAATATTAAAAAGCTGCTCAGTCATGCGCACTCGAATTAGACTCGGCCTCGTTAAGTTAAAAAAAAAATTACGCAAAACTTAAGATTTTTTGTAAAAGGGGCTACGGTGATCTTACTGTGGTGGCACTATGGCGCTAATTTTAGCTCACCTGAGCTGAAAACTCAAGTGAGCTTTTTTGAGCATTTTTGATCTCCTATCATCCGTCTGTCTAGCTATCCGTCCGTATGTTAACTTCTCACTTTTTCTATAATTTCTTTGCAAGAACCACATGCCAATTTAAACCAAATTCATCACAAAAGGATCATTGATAAAATGTAATTTTAAAAAAGTTCAGATAAAGGGCCCAGTCCTATTCTAAGGGGAGATTCTAAAAAAAAAGCAAAAACAAGGTGGTTTTTAAAAAAGCTTCTTCTCAAGAACAACATAGCCAGAAGATATGAGACTTTTTGAAAGCTTTCAAAGGTGTTGTAGAGTCTAAACTGTTCAAATAATAGGAATAGATCAAATTTTAACGTCGAAATATAAAGGAATTTTTTTTAATCTTCCTTTCATGAACCACTTAACAAAAAGTGATGAAACTTATGTGAAAGCTTTCCGAGATGTTGTTGATTCTGAATTGTTCAAATCATGGCCCCGGGGGTAGGAAGGAGCCACAATAAGGGATCAATGTTTTGCAATGAATATATAGGGAAAAAAATCATTGAAATCTCCTCTAGAACCAATGAACCAGAGGTTTAAGCTTCCTGCTGTTTTACAAAAGATTTCAGAAGAAGAGTGTTTCTTTCAAAATACATTTATTTACAATTATCATGACTATTTTATATCACATACAAACATTCACAATAAATATGATACATGTACATGTATATTTCAACTCACTACACAGATGAAATTGCAAGATACCTCAGTCATATATGTTAAAAGTATATTAACCATAAAAATGACCATCAGTAAGTACAATGATACTCAAAAGGTACAAATGTTTTATTTACAAGAAAATCAGTAAACTGTATTAAACATATTTTATCATTTGTTAAATTAGACGTCGTATATATATTACGACCCAATGGAATGTATCTTTGTATATTTTTTTTAGATTGTATACGAGGGGTGATAAAAAAGTTCGCGAACTAATTTAATTACTTCCATAAATAAAATAAAACTAGGTTTCAGTGTGTTTTATTTTTTGAAGTAGTCACCTCCGATTTTAAATGCACATCTGCCATCGTTCTTGCCCATGCGCGAAACACAGGCAGTCACGTGATTTTGCTCCGTACATTCTGTTCACAGCAGCTAAAAGATTTTTCCAAGTCTTATATTTATTACCATGCACGTTATTTTTTATAACAAGAATAGTTCTTTTGTCACAAATGTCACAAATCTCGACAATAGGATGGGTGGATAAGGATATCTTTTACCAGATTTAGCATGGTGACCATCACAACCCGACTCCTCTGTCTTGGATGCGTCGTTTTTTTAAGTGAATTAAGTATGGGCGCATTCTCTTTATCATATCTAATATGTTTATAATATAAAATAAATGGTATTTTAGGGATTTAATTATTGTTTTATTGTTAAGATATTTAACTTATTTTCTAACTGTAACTTGGCGATCCTTCAAAACAAACTGCTCAATTTAAGAAAACACGTCTCTTTCCCAGCTTACTTTCACTGGGCACCAGAACAAACATCAATTTTAACCATCTTCCTTCACTAAAACAATAAAATCCAAGTTACGATCGAACTTCTTGCAAGTCCTTTGTCTTCATAAACCCTATACAAATTATTATATGCCACTGCAAAGGAATTTACAAGATTAACATTAAATTTTACAGCCGTTCCTTGCTCGAGTAAGACTGAGTCACCCATTTTTCGTCACAAGTCACCTATATTGACGTCATTTTCTCATTGTGACGTCATAAACATGGACCAAAACATTACGTACCATATGCTATTTTTAGAACATCTTTATCACAATTTGTGTGCCAAATTTCATCCTGAACTGAATTGTAGTTTTGTAAATATAGAGATAGTTCGCGAACTTTTTGATCATCCCTCGTACGTACATGAATCGATTGAAGTCACAATATTTCCTGATTAACTACGCAGGACAATTGGAGGTGCTCAATGGAAATATCGGCAATTCTAATTTCAAGATGAAAAATACATTCTTTATGATGATTGGCGATTATTTTTAGTACTCCACTCTATAATTTCATTATATCGGACAAATGTGATATGGTTAATAAATACATGTTGAGGACGATTAGAATTTCCATTCAGTCTTGTCACTTGATGTGGCAGTCATGTTATCAATCATACTTGCAGGTTGAGGTCATCTATAAATTCCAATATTGCAAGAGCATAACCAAGTTAAAAATCTAAGTTTGATTTATCAGTATTTTAAACGCCCTTTGTAGTTTGTCAAAAAAAAAAAAAAAACAAAAAGCTGCGAACCTATATCGATTCCATTATCTATAGTAGATAAATTTCCATTAGTTAGACCACGTGTTGATTATTTTGCTGCCAATCGGCATCTAATGTAGAAATAATTAATTCATTAAAGATTTCATCACGTTCGCAGCACTTTTCGAATATTTCTTAGTACTTCTTGAGTTTATGTGTAAAAGCTTGTAATAGATCATCGAGGGTATGTCCTTTCAAAACATCGATTTATTAAGACACTTCTATTACCCTCCAGTGAATCTGCATACGAATAAACGGTAGTATCACTTGACTAAGGAATGTACAGAAAATAAATTAGTTAACTAATTAAATAATCATCGCATCCATGTAAATGCCCTCTTACTTATTCGCAAATATTTTTTTTCATTTGATTACAAATTGCATCTTTAATTGTATAAAACAAAATTTGATCCGCCTCTCACTGCATCATTTTTTACAATATGACGTCACACGGGATTTAACTAACGACAACACTACATGCAGTGGTAAGTTTTTATGTAATTTAAAGCTTCACATCAGTAAATCACAAATTATTTTATTCTGAGGTAATTTTTGATATTGTTGTGTGATGACATAGTAAATATTCCCGTATAATTTAGGCCTTGCATCCTCTTCGCGCTCTGAGTTGTGCTGCGCATAATTTTGTTGGTTTTATAGTATCATTACTTTGTTTGATCTTTGACCCATTCGCTAATTAAATCAATCTCTCTCACATATTTTTGCATTCGCATTCTGTGCTGATGATCCTAGCCAAAACGTCTTCAGTGATCCTTTTCCCTGAAAAATTAAATCTGTTTAATAATTTTTACACTAGATGCAATAAAAACAGTTTACGTTTTCCGTTAAAATGAAATTTATACAGGATTTTCATTTATGAAACATGCATGTCCTTGACAAACAAAAACAATATTATGAAGTTTTTCGACGTCATCGAAGTATCTTGATGGATCTCATAAAGTAACTACTTTATTCTCTAATGCATGGATTCTGCTTAATATTAGGCTTGATTGAAAGTTTTGAACTTATGCACATGAAAATGAACCCTCAAAATATATGGACTAGATCGTGAAAACGACTAACAGTTTATGTTGTTTACGATTTTTGACATTGATCCATGTTCCTTGTCTACACCTTTTCCATGTATAGTACTATCTCTATCTAAAATCCTGATGTACAATTATGTAAATCTTCATGTTTGAAATTAAGACTTGCATAGTTTTGTTACTGTTTTGATTGTTTTGATGGAGAAGTATATGTCTATTAAATGGTGTTTTTTTTTTAAAAAAGTAACAAAGCTTACCTTCCTTACAAAGTGAATTAGCAATAAAGAATTTAGAGATATGATAAAATATAATGGCAGTAATTCCTCTACTTTTATATAGACATGTTTTCTATTGCATTCAAAAAAAAATATTTAAGAAATCTAGAATAATTTGCAATGTGTGTTTCCATAGCATAAAAGTCCTTTCTAATTATTATAGACATATCAAATGGATTCTTTATAATTAAAAAAAAATCAAACAGCTTTGCACATTACAATTTAATATTTTAATTAATATCCTTTCTAAATGAATTAAAAATTAGAGCATGACAGTTTTTGAGCATGGAAATAGAGTTTCACACCAAAGTTTGAAGTTGCGATTTTCGTCAAGAATATTGAAAGAGAAAGAAAATATATTTTCAAAAAAAAGTTCTTCATATACATGCATTTTTAAAAGAATTAAAAACAAATTCCTTTTTACCTTTATCATGACATTTCCTCTTTCTAAAGCCGTAAAATGGCCCGTTTCTTTTATCAATTGATATGTCTTGCTACTTATATGGATTTTCCCTCCTAAAACACATGTAAAAAAGTTTCAGCTGTGAGTATAATTGGTTACAAGATTATAGAATTTCTTAATTTTTTTACGTATGAATAGAAAAATAATTGGCTTTATTGTATATTCATTTCAAACACCAGAGTTGTTCAAATATATCCTTTTTTTATATACACATGTACATGTAAATGTCTTAATTTCTTCTCTCAAATTTCTATCATTGGAAATGCTGAGAATGCCCAAACAGGAATTTACAAACCTCTCCCGGTAGATTTTAATCTTTTTGCAATGTTTACTGTTTCCCCAAATAAACAATATCTAGGTATTTTCAATCCAAGAACTCCAGCTACACAAGGTCCTATGTGTGAAATAAATGAAAATGACAAACATATATAAAGGTTTCACATTCCTTAGAAAAACTTTGTTATCTATTAAATAAATTTAATGTTATCACAAAATGCAAAATAAATTCATGCATTATATTATTAGCAACTGGCAATACTGCATAGTTTTGAACGCGTGATCGCATAAATGACTTCATAAAAAGTAAATAGCATTGCAGCTAAAACTACATCGTCAAAAAATAAAGAAAAGAAATAAATAGGATGTACAAGTACATATAGAAACAATAATGTTGTAGAATAAAGGTATTTTAATTGTAAATTGATCATGAGAAATTGAGAAGTACCTGAATGAATTCCAATCCGGATTTTAAAGAATTCATTTCTTTCAAATGTTTGAAAAGGAACGTGGTATCTTTTCATGATGTCATGCAGATCAAGGGCCAAATTGCAAATATGGAGAGCATGTGCACTGCCATTTCTATCTGGCACTCCACTAGCTAGCATGTAAGAGTCTCCAAATGTTTCTATTTTGTGGACATCGTACTTCTCTGCTTCGCTATCAAATAACCTTTGAAGAGAAATATGCTATATATACATCGCGTTATTTACAGGAAATTTTTAAAATGATAATGAAACAAATATGATTTTTGTGAATTTAGATAGTGGATACGTGTAATTCAAAGGATTTTAGATGGCAGAAAAATTCGCTAATTCATATACATTAAATTTGAATTCCTATATGCTTGTAATGCAAATATAATATTTTTAAGATAAAAAAAATATTAAAGTGTCATTTTATATCATCTGAACAGTACGAGAATCGGCACATACCCATATAAATCATTAAGTAGATCGATGATCTGTCTTGCTGTACTTCTTGTTTCAAGTTCTGTAAAATTCATGATGTCACTGATGAAAATGGTCACATTTTCAAAGCTTTCGGTAGTAATAGTTCGTGCCTCTTTTAACCCTGTGGCAATTTTCTTAGATAACATTTGGTATTGCAGTCTTTCTGTAACTTTTTTTTCTGCGTCTAACTCTTTGGCCTTGGATTTTATGATAACAGCATTATTTGCTATTTTAAATGTCACGTTCTCGTTGCACAATATATACCATATTGTTAAAATGATGCTTACAGTAGTTATGATGGCCTCAACAGTGAGGTATATGTTAAACTGGAATTCGGCATCTTTTCGTATTTCTAACATCTTGCCTGTTAAATCTTTGGACTTGAGTTGCTGGATCTCAAAAGCATAATCGATTAATTTTGTCATGTTTTGAAAATATGTTAATCCCAAAGATAAACGATCTTCTTTCGCTTTTGTTTTACAAGAGTTCAGAAATGATTCAGACCAAGCCGAATTTATCACTTCCTCCAAATACCTTTCCGTGTTCTGATTTTCTAATGAAAATGCAGTTCTCATTCCAGGATTGTACTGTGTGAATATATTTTTATAACCCCTTGCTTCCCCAGTCAAGAACAAATGATTCTGTAATGCCTCTGAAGAAAATTCACAAGTTGCATATTGGAATGCTATTCTAGCACTCAAAAGTCCAATTACATCTGTCCATCTTATAAGAGCTGTAAATGCTACAATGTCCAGAACGCAGTTCCACTCCCCTGGAATGCGAACGTCATTAAACATAATGCTCAACAACCCATTGTTAATCTTCGTGTAGAAAGTTAAATGATCCTGAACCGAAACAGACCCATTCTCAATCTTCTCCCTTGATAAATGAATACTTTCTTGAACTTTTACAATTGTATGTGATATCCCATACAAGTTAATGGCAAGATGATTTGGAGGTATTCTGGCAAAGGCTAGGTCTGTGTTCTTCCTTGCTGTCAGCATGGTATCCAACAATAAATATCTGTCACCAGAGGTGCTCAAATATGTGGAGGATATTCCTCTTTCTCTCTGTAGCATTTGGATCAAATTTGCATACAAATGTGCAGCTTTTACCTTGTGAATTGAATTCTCTGAAGCTTTCTTGACCTTTGCTGCTTTCAGAAGACTGTTTGTTGCGAGAGACATCAGCGATAATACAGGTATCAAAATGATTATAATCATTTTCCAGTGCCTTGCGATTCTTCTGTACGAAGAACAGCCGCTGTCCTTCTCCATTTCTACCTCCCGAAGGCTACGTATTGATTCTTGAGAAATACTGGACCCCGGCAGAGTTACGTCACATCGACAAAACTCTGTCGCAATGGACTGTGGATGAATGGTACTGGTCGTCATATCTTTTCTCTTGAGTTTACTCTACCCTTATTTCACACACCTAAAACAGAAACACAAATAGAAAGAGTTAGTCTGAACAACAACGAGTGTGGACATCGTTCTTTGATAACGGATTTTAGTTTTGTGGTTAAATTTTCTATTAGATTCAGGACAGCATCAATGATCTCCTGCAAATGAGAAGTACATTAAACTTCACTTTAAAAAAAATAATATACTTTTTGAATACAAATTAAAAAATAATATTATTTATAACAATAATAAACACTCAACTTACCCTTTTTGTGACTGGAATTAAGAGTGATAAAATCATTTAGGACAATTTATATTTGAATAATTTGAAAGATATTAGTTAACAATTGAGACTTTGATTGACGTATGATTTTTATAGGAGTATGTTAATAAATAAAGAATAGGAGTGGTTTTTTTTCTTTTATATCTATACTTATATAGGTTAATTTATTGAATTTTAATTCGTTCAAGCTAGATTATGGAAGTAAAGAACGTGTTAAAATATATTTCTTAAATCCTAGCATTTCAATAAATATCTAACCAGTCAGACTTGTATGTCACGATAACTGCTAATTGAATTATATATGAATGACATATACTGAATTATATATGAACGACATAAACGCAAATTCAAAAAAAAATTTTGACCTTGAAAGTAATCTATGAAAAGGAACTACATATCCGCTTAAACAACATCATCATAAAATATTATCTAATTTCCACTTTGGTAGCACTGTGAAAACGATGAAGATCCTCACGCTGCCATTACATATTGTCGATATGTAAAATGTACAAACACCACAAACATTTATTGGAAATGTTTTACTTGGTATGCTTTGAGCTTGATTCTTGATTTTTAATGACACCGGTTCTTATACTTCTTCAGCATACACGAGTAGTCATAGAAAGTGGTACGACAACGAATTTTAATATGGGATTAATGAAGTGTATACGCTATGAATCCATTTATCACAGTGCACACCGTGGAATTATATATACGCGACATTGATTTTCTTTTGCAAGCAGACAGTCTCGCCTAATTACGTGAAATGAAAAAGTGATTTACAGTAATATCGATACAATGTACTGTAAGACTTCTTCGATAACTGAATGAATATATAATATATAACAAAATACACAAATAATTGAACTGGAATGGGTATTTTTCAAATTTTTAGAAAAGATTCTAAAATTATATATATATATATATACAGTGCAGGGAACTAATTTTGTTAAATAAACCAGCATCAGCATAAGCATTAGTAGCATCAGGATCGAGCTAGCATCAGCATCAGCATTTAAAAAACAGCATTACCAGGATCAGCATCAGCAAGCAAAGGATAAAACCAGCATTGACCTACATAAAATCAGCATTATCCTACTAGCAACAGAAAATCAATGAGTTTTAATTCAGTAAAATATTAAAAAAGAAAGAAAGAATATTGGTTAAAGTATTCACATTATTTATACATAGTGAGATATTATGATCAAATAATTGTAAAAGGCACTTTTATTGCTTTAAACGGCAATGCTGAAATTCATTATCTACTTCCGGTAGCATGATGCTACTTCCGGTAGCATTGACCTAATTATAAAACAGCATCAGGATAAGGATTACTACCATTAAATCAGCAAGCAAAGGAAGCATTCAAATCAGCAAGCAAAGGAAGCATTCAAATCAGCATCGATGCTGTAACAAAATTAGTTTCCTGCACTGTGTGTATATATATATATATATATATATATATATATATATATATATATATATATATATATATATATATATATATATATATATATATATATATATATATATATATATATATATATATTAGGGATGTCAATTTTGTCAATAATTCATATTCGAATATTCAATAAAATAAATAAATCTGTTTTATTTTAAATATGCATCATCCGACTCTCATGAAAGGTTTAGCGTAGGTATACTTATACTGTAAGTAAAATTGTATGAAGAATTTTGTAGGTGTACAATAAGAAATTCCATTTGATATTTGTCAATGTCTGAAATAAATAATTGATTTAAATGTAGAATTTAAATGTAGAATAGTGTAATTTTAACAAATGAAACATGTGTATTTATAGTAGCTCCAACTGAGGAACCAGTCGTCTTACAAAAGGCAAGATAGTCGTAACGGTATACTGTTCAGATTTCAATACGTGTAATAAATTACAATTATCTGCCTGATAAGAGATATGATAAAATGTTTCGATAGACAATTTTCCTGGGTAATTAACTAATTTCCCGATAATGAATATAAAATTCAGGAGTATGTACAACCCGAGATAATCAAGTAAACACTTTTATTCTGAAATTAAGCCCTTTACAATATTAATTACAGATTAATTCTATCGGGCATTCATTCAATGATCAATTAATTTTATTTTGATAAGTATATATACTCTTTACGCCTTTTAGACATTCTTAGATTTTATTTTTGTTCTCGATTTTAGATCCGATCGTATCTAACTAATAAAAACTATGAAAGTACGTTTTGTATTATACATAAAGCATTTTTGTACAATTCTTTAACACCTTACTCAAAACAAAATACATGAAATTTAGGAGATTTATAAGATAAGAAAGTAGTGAAAGAAATTGATCGCTAGTAAATTAAACAGGGATAATTCCAGCACTGTTCTAATCAAAATTTATTGATCACAGTACTTCTTTTTATGAAATCTGAAAAACACCGAATATTCGAATCTGAAATTCATATTCTTAATTATATATATATATAATTGTCAAAATGTACCAAAATGTACGAATAATTACATAAACTTTCGAAAAATCATCTTTCTAATAATTTTAAAAAAAAGATGGCTTTTTTTTTAAATTCTTCATAATTGATTAAATATCTTGTCAAATAACCTAGTGTTTCAAATACATTTTATGCAGGTGTACACGTCCATATACATGTGTATCATATGATGGAAAAATACTTTTAAAAATTGTTGCTCTAGGGGCGGAGTGGTCAGAGCATCTGCACTTGAATCGCGATGTAAGGAGACAATCTTTACGTCGCGGATTCGAATCCACTGCAGGACGTCGAGACCGATACTTCGGATGAGACCGTATAAACCGAGATCCAATGTCGCAGTAGGTGTTGGCAGGAGAAGATCCCTCACTGCTCACTGACCATGCGTTGGAGTACAGGTATAAATTTGCAGTCCTCCACCTGCATGTGGTGGCGTCTCCATATACAGTTAAACCTGTATTAATAGACCTTCCAACGGAGAAAGGAAAAAAAAAGGTTACATATGACAGGTGGTCTCATAGTACAGGTTGATTATTTTCCGGTGTGTTTAAATATACAATGCTGAAAATATCATATATGTATCTGGAATTTATTAATATCATGTACTGTATATTTCTTCTTTTCAATATTAAGTATTACCCAACTGTAAATGCCATTATAATTTTGGGGTACAATCGATTGTCATGTTCAGTAATAAAATTTGATTTCTGTTATTATTTTGATTTTTGGGAAATATTGAACAGCTGAAAATATAATTTTATACATAATAAAAAAAGTCAAAAGTTTTTTAAATTATTTTTTTTAACCTAAAATGGTAACCTAATGATATAACTTTATATGTTGTGCACATTACTAAGAAACTAAACTATCGTGATTTTTGCTGCATCTGGTAAAAAATAAAATTTATATTTACGACCAAAAACTTATTTAATCTTGTTAAACAATTATTAGTCTAATTGCCGGTTTGTCATCAGTTTCTTTAAACACTTCAATTAACACCTCATATGAGTTCTAGCTAGCGTGTGTTTACATAACCCGAGGGTGACACAATCCACATAATTAAACATCTAGGATTTTACCAGTTATACACTGTAAGTTTTTAGGAAACATACAAATTGTCCATAAGGCCCTTATAGCACGAAATGATACTCATCGGGATAAACCTCGAGCGTCTATTTTCAAAATGGCGCTCGAATATCGGAGAGAAAAAAACGTGAATGTTGATGTATTATATTTTAATGTTCATTACCATAAGTCAAAGTACTTATTTTGAATTATTTTGAATTGCTGTTTACTTGTAAAACTCTCATTAAATAATTATTAAAGGATGGTAGCGAAAATTACTGTCGCTGGTCGCGACAGACAGGTGGTCGTTTAATACAGGTACATGTATAATATATAGGGAAAACCTATGGGAGGGATTTTTACGGTCACATATGACAGTGATTCGCTTAATACAGTGGTTCGCTACGGCAGTTTTAACTGTATATGAGTGAAGACCAACAGACAAGCAAACTTTTCTTTTATTTCATTTTAAACTAAAAACTTGCCAATCTATGAAAGGATGATAGCATCTATTTCCTATTTAAGGAATAATAATTCAATCTATGAAAAAGTCTATATTTAAAAGTCTGAAATTCTTTTTTTCCAAATAAAATGCAAATCACGAGAACGAGAACTCAGCTTTTATTTTCAAGAAACAATCTCAAGGGTTGAAATATTCCATAACTATTTTGTTTTAAATTTCAGGCACAGAATGCAGATTTCAAAAAGAACTGAAACTTGTCTGAAAGTGACCAAGGAACCAAATATCATAGATTCTAGTTGCGAGTCAGCTATTTTAGACCATAATATTTTCGACATAACAAAATGGATAAAACAAATTAAAAACAGTTGTTTAAATCCAACTTTCATAACGGAAATTCAAGAAAGTTTTTGCATTAAATATTTATGCCAACCAATGTACTTCTACATTATAAACAGCCAGAGTCCGAGCTTGTTTTGCGTAAAATAGACATAAGATCCATATTGTGTGAAAAGGTCATTTATTCACAAAAGTACATTTCTCAAATTATTGAATAGTATATAATTGAAGTCGTTCTTACAGCGAGCAACCAAATCAAGGAATGCTGCGAACGACGTAGACCTCTGGAAAAACCCAGGGCGACATCTACAAAAAAACAATTAAAAGCGCGGATTCCTAGGTATGCAGAA